TATGTGGGTCTAAAAACAAAACAAATGAATAAACAAAACAAAACAGAAAGAGGCCCATAGAGACCGAGGGCTGCGGGGGGGGCGGGGGGGGGGTCTGCCGGAGGCCCACAGCTTCTGAGCTTCCACGGTCGCGGCACTGCACCCTGCACCCTGCATCGCAGGAGGCTGACGGTGCCACACAGCCTCCCCTCCAAACAGCAACGTTCCTTCAGAGGCAAACCAAATGCCGGCCTCCGACACGCAGAACAGCCCACGTGGGAAAGCGCGGCCAAGGCCAATGGGCTCCTCACGCTTTCCAGAACAGGCCCTGGGGCTCCGTGGAGAAAGGCAGCTTGGCGAGTGGAAACGGCCTCTGTCCCGTGGCAGCGCGAGCCGCCGCCTGTTCTCGGCAGAACCCCGCACAGCTGGCCCCCCTTCCTGGGAGAGAAAGGGAGACTCGGGGGCCAGAGGCTGGGCCCCACCCAGCCCGGGGTCCTCCGGCCTCCGTCTTCCCGGCTGTGAGACAGACAGGATGCTGCCGTCGACGCTACTCTGGGGAGTACATGGAACCAGGTAGAAAGCTTTCGGAGTGGCCGGGGCTGAGGGGGCGGGCAGGCTGCCCAGAGGAGTGTGGGTGGCGGGCTCCTAGCTCCTGGCACCAGACCCCACGCACAGGTCAGTACACACACAGATCGCTTCACCGAGCGAGAGTTCCCACTGAAACAGACAGACAGCTCCGCACCCTGTTTTATAGCTACTAGCGCGACCCCCGCACCGGCCCGGCACCGGCGCCAGGACCCACGTGCTGACAGGGAGTCACCGGCCAGACATCAGAGGGGACAGATAAAGTCGGTCAAACACCCTCCACCCACCTCCTGCAGGAGGGCCAACACAGCTGGTCATCGCAAAGCCCTGACGGCTCCCTATCTGCTCACACTTGCAAGGCAGCTGGGCCTGGAGTTTCACACACCTACACCTCAGGCCAAAGTTCCCTTCTTAGGCGAGGGCTGGAGCCACGCCCTGTCCACACAGACGCAGACAGCAAACACGGAACTTCCTGTGTGAACATAAGTGTTTGCAGGAGAACCACCCCTTCCCCACGTCCTGTGGGGGCTTAAGCAGTGGCTGGGGCGTCGCTGGAGCGGCCAGAGGGGAAGACGCGTCCTCTGCCTCCAGGCGCCCAAAGGGCTCCCCGTTCTGGCCTCCGATCAACCAAGATTAAAAACACACGTCCAGCTGGGTGTCTGCCCACCAGGTCAGTGTCGACCTGTGAGGACAGCTGGCAGGCGCCTATGGGCGCCCAGGGTGCCTTTTCCCGGGAAGTGGAGAGGACACGTCTCCGCAGCCGCGCCCGCCAGCGACCACCAGGATAGGGTGCCTGTGAATGAACACTCCTGCCCGCTTCTTAAGCTTTGTGCCTTTCCACACATGAACAACCCTTGAACTAGCAATTTTGCACATACCCAGGCAGCTTAAATACCGGCCACCCAAGCTCAAAAGGTCTTTTTGTTTTTAGTTTGGGCCGAATTTAGTTACAAACACCTTCTCATAAGGGAGTTTAAATTCTAAGGCAATGCTCTAGGGCAGTGGTTCTCAACCTTCCTAATGCCGCGACCCTTTAGTACAGTTCCTCATGTTGTGGTGACCCCCAATTTCATTGTTACAAATTGAACATAATTGAAGCATAGTGATTAATCACAAAACAATATGTAATTATATATGTTTTCCAATGGTCTTAGGCGACCCCTGTGAAAGGGTCGTTCGACCCCCCAAAGGGGTCGCGACCCACAGGTTGAGAACTGCTGCTCTAAGGGCTCATGTTAATAGAAAACCTTTTTTTAAAAATCCTCACCCAGGATGTTTTTCCTTTTTTTTTTTTTTTTTTTTTTTTTTTTTAGAGAGAGAGAGGGAAAGGGAGGGAAGGAGAGAGAAACAATGTGAGAGACATTGATTGGTTGCCTCCTGCACATGCCCAATTGGGGTTGGGGGTCAAACTTGCAACCCAGGTATGTGCCCTTGACTGGAAATCGACACCGAGACCTACTGGTGCTCTAAGCACTGAGCCACATGGGCCAGGGCTGGAAACCCTCCCACACTCAGCCCGGCAGGTTGACCATCTCTCCTACATACCTCTCCCCACGTCCCAGCTCTCAAAAATCCAAACAGAAACGGGTGAATAACCACATTCACAAATTAGGTAAAACTGCCTTCAAAACACAACAAAATGAACCCAGAATGCAGAAGTTTTTAGAGACGCCATGGATGGCGGCCCCAGAGCTCACACGCCCTGGGGTGAGGAGCTGGGGTTCCGCGCCAGCCCAAAGTCCGCTTCACTGGCACTGCTGCCCCCACGCGCCCAACAGGCCCACGCTCGGTGAGTGGGAACCCCTGGGGCACGTGCCAGTGTGGGGCCAGCACCCCACGGAGGAACGTAGAGTGCACCCTCCTTGCGGGCGGCACCAGGAGGGTGAGCCCGTGAGCAGAGTGAGGCCGACGGCTTTCAGGATAAGAGCTGTGAGACCCTGAGCTCGCTGACCTGGCAGAGAGGAGCCACCTGACACCTGTGTGATCCCCGCAGGTCGTCCCAGGATGACATGCTGAACAGCCAGCCATCTTTGGACATAGGAGAAGGTCGAGAGTCCCACCCAACGCACCTGGTTTTGTGGGTGAGCCCATTGTCTGCACCTCCCTTTCCCCAAAGCCCAGGGCTTTCCAAGCCCCAGCCCCTGCACAGGCCCATCGGCCCTGAGGGTGAGGGCTCCCTGAGGAGGAGACACAGGCAGAGAAAGGCTTGCCTTCGCGAAGGCTGGGAGCAGCAGGGGCAGGCGGTTCTCATTCCTCACAACCAACAGGGAAGATCCCGGGCTCTGGGCCCCAAGAAGCAAAGATGGCTTTGCGCTTCTGTGCAGGAGGAAGGGTGCTTCGATTTAAAAAAAAACAATCGCGCCACCAAGGTCACAAAGGCAGGATTCCTGCCGGCTCTCCTCCCCTCGGCCAGGGCTTGCCGGTGTGTGAAACGCATGTGTGAGCGAATCAGGAGGCCAAACAGGAGCAAACTAAACACGCAGCCGCCTACGGAGACAGGTGCGTCGGCGAGGTGTGACTTTAGGTCCCCAAGCAGCATGTGTAGGAAAGGGTTGGCTCTGACCTTTGGCAAAGGAGTGGTCCCTCTCCCCAAAGGAAGAGGGTCTTTCCTGTGAGCGCCCTCGGGCTGGCACCAGCCTCCTGCAACCGACGGCCTGGAGACAAGGGCTGGCCCTCGGCAGGTTTAGGGAGAAAGTACTGAGCACCAACCAAAGGCCGCCCTGCCAGCAGCCACGGGCAGGGGGAGGGCAGGGACGAGCCCGCTGCGGGTCCTGGGGTGGGATGTGGGCCACCAGCAAAGTTGAATGGCACCTCCCTGGCCTGCCCCGCCCTGTTCTGCTCGGTGAGCATTACTGTTTGCGTTTGTGAAGGGAGGCTTGTGCACCAGAGAGACATGGGCGCTTGGGTGGTGCCAGGGCCGGAAGCTAAAGGGATTAAAGGGGAAAGGGAGCGGCGGGGATCAGGAAAGGGCCCGGACTCGGAAGCGTGGGCCTCTGGGCCAGCTGTTCCGCAGGCCTCACCGAGGGAGCCAGGTGTCGATGGCCACGCATGCAGGTCATGAGGGGCCTGGCTGGGCCAAGTCTAAGTGCAGCTCTCATTTGTGCTGTTGTTTGGATAATGAGGGTGTGATGGTGATCAAACAAGATCCAGATGGAGATGGAGAGGGAGGGAGAGGGGGAGGGGGAAAGGGGAGGAGGAGGGAGAAGGAGAGGGAGAAGGAGAGGGAGAGGGAGAAGGAGAGGGAGAGGGAGAGGGAGGGAGAGGGGGGAGGGGAAAGGGGAGGGGAAGGGGGAGGAGGGGGAAGGGGAGAAGGAGGGAGGGGGGAGAGGGAGGGAGGGGGGAGAGGGAGGGAGGGGAAGGGGGAGGGGAGGGACGGGAGAGGGCAGCGTGTGCCTCTCCTGGGTGCCAGGGCTCCCAGCCCTCCTGGAGCCGGGGTCTGGGTTCTGAGTTCAGGCCGCAGCTGCCTGGCGGGCAGGAGGCAGGGAGCTGAGCTGCGCTGTGTGCCCTCCCACCTGCAGGGACTTGGCGGGTCCCCGTCTCCAGGCGCTGGGTCCTGCTAACGAGGTCTGGGCCCAGCCTTGCCCCTTGGGGCGCCTGGCGAATGGAGGGGACGGACTCAGGGCACCACTGCCGCCCGGACGTCCGCCGCCGCCCCCTCGCCTTTCTCTCCGGCCTCGGATTCGCAGATGCTTGACCCGCAGCTGCCGGAAGGAGAGCAGCCGGACCGGCCTCCCGCCAGGGCGCCGCCCCCGCTCGGAGGAGGCTCCGGGCTGCGTCAGCGGCGGCCCGAGCTGCGTGCGTGGAGGTGGCGGCCGCTGAACAAACAGCTCACGGGTGACGCGAGCCCGAAAGGAGGGCGCAGGGCCGGCGGCGTGGCGAGGCCCCAGCCGGCAGGGCCGGTGCAGATCCGCGGGGGTGCCCCCTGCCCGCCAGCACCCGGCCTCCCCCGCCCCCAGCTTCCCTCCAGGTGAGCCACGGGCGCCCGGCCAGGGCCCGGGCCGCCCAGTGGCTCCATTAGGACCGGGCGGGGAGCTGCGCCGCGCGCCCCAGTTCCTCCCGGAGCCGCCCGCGCCCTGCCGGCTCCGACCCCGGGAGCGCTCAGCTGATTCGGGCGCCCTGTCCCCCCGGGGCTGCCACGAAGGAGGGAGGCCGGCGCGCGGTGCCCACGCCAGAGGAGCCGGGTGCCAGGCGGGACCCACACTCGTGCTCCCCCCGCGCACGCGGCACGAACACGCGGGGCGCACCCACGCCACCAGCAAGGGCAGCGCACAGGGCGACCCGGACCGCGGGGGCGACTCGGGCAGGGACGACGACGCTGGGCCGCGACCCCCTGCCGCCCCGGGAGCCCGTCCCGCCTGCCCGGCGCCCCTCCCCCCCCCCACGCAGACCCTCCCCGCCCCTCTGCCTGGGACCCCCGCCCCGCGCCCCCCACTCACCCAGGAGCCCCGCGAGCGGCCGGGCGAGGGGCGCGGGCGCGGCGGGCGGGAGCAGCGGTAGAAGCAGCAGCAGCAGCGGCAGCGCGAGCGGCGGCCCCAGGTTGGCGGCTCGGTCCATGGCGGCCTCTCCCCGCTCCGCGCCGCCGCCGCTTCAGCACCGGACAGCGCCGCCGGCCCCGCCCCCGGCCCGCCCCCGCCGCGCGTCCGCCCGCCCGCCAGCCCCGCCCCGGCCCCGCCCCCCACGACCCCCGCGGTCCCCGCGCCACCGCCCTGCCCTCGGCCCCCCACCTGTGGGCGCCCAGCCTCCCGCGCTGTACCTCCCTCGGCCCGAGCCCGCACCCCTCCCTCCCACCCCACCCCTGCCTCACCCGCGCGCCCTTCCCACCCCTCTGACCCCAGTGGAAGCCCGGCCCGCCCGCCAGGGTCCGGGTGGGGGTGAAGGGCGTCACTGGCTGCCCTAGATGTGCCTGAAGGCCCGCCGCACCCTGTCCTAGGATGGATGCGGCCCTTCTCTGCCGACCACCGGCTACTGCCGCCAGCACTTAAGTGTGGCCGGTGCCCTGGCCGCCAGAGCTCGTGGTTAGAGCGAAGGCCGGCGCTGGGAGGGGGGTGGGGGGGTGGCAGATTCCATCCTTGACCCTGGTTGTGGCGCCTGCAGGAGGCAAGCAATCCATGTGTGTCTCTCACACCCATGTTTCTCTCTCTCCTCTCTTCCCTCCCCACTTCCACTCTCTAAAATCCCGTGGGAAAAGTATCCTTGGGTGAGGCTGACAAAAATTATGTGCCTGGCAGTCGCCTGGGTCTGAATCTCACCTGAAGCAGGTAATGTCAGGGCTTCCTGGAGCTCAGGCTGTGCATGGTCTGAGCATGGGGGCGAGGAGGGGAGGGGAGTCCTCAGCCTGGAAAGGGGTGGGGGTTAGGGGAGCCTAACCTGGAAGATCATCTGGAAATGGGAGCTGGAGCCAGGAGGCCACTCCTGAGCTCTGGGCTCCTGTCAGGGGTCCGGACTCCCAGTGGGGGTGGGCCCTGCCCGGGCTTCCCTCCCCCTGTGGCCTGGCTCTGTGCTGGGCGCTGTCCAGGCTTTGGGAGGGCGCTGAGGACTCGTGCACGCCCCAGGAGACTACGTCCTGAAGACCTGGCACAGCTGCGTGTATCAGAACAAACGTGGATATGTTGTGAGCGAATGTGTGAGATCTGTGAAGTGTGTGCTATGTGCATGTGTGTGGAGTGTGTTATGTGCATGCGTGTGGAGTGTGTGCCATGTGCAGGTGTGTGAGGGGTGTGGAATGTGTGCCATGAGCATGTGTGTGAGGGGTGTGGAGTGTGTGGAGTGTGTGCCATGAGCATGTGTGTGAGGGGTGTGGAGTGTGCCATGAGCATGTGTGTGAGGGGTGTGGAATGTGTGCCATGAGCATGTGTGTGAGGGGTGTGGAGTGTGTGGAGTGTGTGCCATGAGCATGTGTGTGAGGGGTGTGGAGTGTGCCATGAGCATGTGTGTGAGGGGTGTGGAGTGTGCCATGAGCATGTGTGTGAGGGGTGTGGAGTGTGTGCCATGAGCATGTGTGTGAGGGGTGTGGAGTGTGTGCCATGATCATGTGTGTGAGGGGTGTGGAGTGTGTGCCATGAGCATGTGAGGGGTGTGGAGTGTGTGGAGTGTGTGCCATGTGCATGTGTGTGAGGTATGTGGAGTGTGTGCCATGTGCATGTGTGTGAGGTGTGTGGAGTGTGTGCCATGTGCATGTGTGTGAGGTGTGTGGAGTGTGTGCCATGAGCATGTGTGTGAGGGGTGTGGAGTGTGTGCCATGTGCATGTGTGTGAGGGGTGTGGAGTGTGCCATGAGCATGTGTGTGAGGGGTGTGGAGTGTGTGCCATGTGCATGTGTGTGAGGGGTGTGGAGTGTGCCATGAGCATGTGTGAGGGGTGTGGAGTGTGTGCCATGTGCATGTGTGTGAGGGGTGTGGAGTGTGCCATGAGCATGTGTGTGAGGGGTGTGGAGTGTGTGCCATGAGCATGTGTGTGAGGATGTAGAGTGTGTTCCTCACCTCCTAACCCCTCCATCATCATCTTTGTTATCCTGTGGCCCTGCCAGGGAGCCCTGTCTTCTCCCTTCCCCACCTGGTGCCCCAATCCCACCTGCTTCAGCATCTGGCAGGGGCCTGAGCTTGCTCTGACCCTGTGGGTCCATCTGCCCAATGTCAGCTTCACTTCTACTCTGCCTGTCCCGTAGCCCCACACACTTCTTGGTGTCTGGCCCTCATCAGCCGGCCTTCTCACAGCCGTTAACTGGGTTTCTTTCCTGCCCAAACAAGGCTGGCCTGGGCAGGCTTTGGGGTGGGGGTGACAGCGAAGTGTCATGGCTCAGCCCAGTCCATCTATAGTCAGAACTGATTACTGACCCTCAATGTCCCCAGTTCCCCTCATCGCTGATGCTGTGTCCCCAGCAGCTACTGCCCTCCCCTCACCCTGCTCCATACCTCTGTCCTGTGTCCAAGAGCCTCCCCCTGTCTAGGCCTGGCTGGGATGGGGCTGATCCTAGTTTATTCTGTCCGGTTCTAGAGCCCAAAGCCCACGATGCCACAGCCACAGTTAAGGCAGGGTAGGGCCGCACTCCCCAAAGGCTCAGGAGACCTCCATGGCTTCCTATAGTGCCCACCTTTACCTCTGTGCCCCTCACAAGGTCACGTGATGGCATTAGGACACACCCAGACAGCATGAACCCCAACTCAAGATCCTAAACTTCACATTATACTTCTTTGCCCTGGCCCTTGTAAGTCGGTTTCATGACCAGCCAAGCCTCCTGGCACGCACGGAGGTGTCTCCAGATCCCAGGAGCTCCTGAGACAGGAGTTTCTTGGGGCAGCTGGAGCACTCGCCTCCAAAACCGAGTGGGTGTTTTCCTTGTGGAAAGAGGGTAATTAGTTTCAGTTACGCACGAGTTTTTAGGATAGTCAGGTTTTCTCTTTTGTGTCTTAAAGGGTGAAATAATCCAATTTGTGAAAAAAACGTAATTCCATTTTTTTGGGCCAACATACTTCATAAACCCTCTAGCTCATTCCTGAACACGAAAGGCATTTCTGAAAAAGGCCGTTGCAGCAGCTGTGTCGCCTCTGCTCCTGACACGTTAGGGCTCTGTCCCTGTGTGCAGCCTCTTGTGGGGGGTCTTATCCAGGAAGGGACGTTTCCTGCCTTACACCTCCCCACTCCCGGCACCAGCCCGTCCCTTGGGCACGACCCTGCAGCCCGCCACACACGGTGCACAGCTGCTCCCGCGGCGACACTGTGCATGGGCTCAGAGTGATGAGTTTGCGAAGTCCGTGCCGTTTCCCTTCACACCTGAATGTGGAGGCTCTCTGCTGTCTGAGGCCTCTGGGTTCCCAGGTCTCCTGCCTCCCATGCAAGCGAGTGACGGGAAGGGGCCTGAGGAGGGTGCATGTCATCAGGCTCCAGGCCTTGCACACAAACCAGCTCTTCCACCCGAGTTCTCCAGGCTCGGCAGGCGCCTCTGCTCAGCTCCAGTCCCCACAGCCTGCCGACCTGCATTCTTGGGGTTGAGCCTGGCCCAGGTGCCTTACTCAGACGAGCAGCCTGAGGCCCACGGTGACGAGTACCCAACGCAAAATACGGCAGCCATACGAGTGTGTTCACAGCTCCTAAAACAAGCCCCACCTCACTTCCCGGCGGTCCCTGCACCAAGCCTGGCCCTAGAGCCCAACCACAGTGCGCAGTCCGTGTGCTTCTCAGGGACACCGGGGCCTGCAGACACGGGCACTGCTTTACTCTCTCGCCGGGTCTGAGGACAGAATGCACACATGCCTGAGGGTCTCCCTTCCCACCTGTCACCAGGTGGCCTCCCAGGCCGCAGGTGCTGACTGGCCACGACTTAGGACCCAGAGCCAACAGGGATCTGGGATGAACGTGGTGACTTCCTGGTAACTGGGACGGGCACAGAGGGTTATGGACAATGCAGCCAGGAAGCCAGGCGCCAGTCATCTGTGGGCATGGAACAGCTCGCAGTTAGAAAAGATCAACTAACAGTAGTTCAGCTCAACTGAATGGCTCGTATTTGCAGCCACAGGGCCCACCTCCACCGCAGGGTGGCGGCTCCAGGACCTGCGTGTGGCCCTCCCCCCGTGCCCGGCCATGGTTCCGCTACAGCACCTTCCGGTAGAAGACAGGCTCCCCAGAATATGTGTTTTCTTTGCTTTATTACAGTTTGCAAGCAATAATATATATATATATATATATATATATATATATATACACACACACACACATGTATCATTTTTAAAACAACCAGGGGTGCTAGAAAGGTGACTTTTTCTTTGCACCCCGGGTTTCCTGAGCCCTTTACATTAACTATATTATTTTGCAGGCACTAGGCAAACATTTAAGAACTTTGAGCTTCCTACACACACTTCCCCAAATCCCACCTTTCCTATTACATGGGATATATTGAAAACACGAGGGAAATACACACTCATTTCATTTCCTGTCAGTCCCTTTTCTCTATTTTTACGTAACCAAAGATGTTGGCTCGGTTATGAATTCAAAAATGCTCCCAAAGTTCTTGATGATGATTCGTAGAGAAATCTGAAACACAAGGAAAGAAAGAATTAGCTATAAATATAAGTGACCAAATTGTCCAAATGTACATTTTCACAAAGTAAATCTAAAAACCAAATACACTTAAAAAGAAAGTTGAAACAAGCAGTCACTGCCCACTGGCCAGTCCACGTACGTCAGAGAAGGAAGAATCACACTGTCTTAGCGGATACGCAGCATGTGGACAAGCGTCAGTGAACACAGCGGCCATCACTCCCCACAGCCAGCAGCTCAGGGGTCCCCAAGGATCCCTCCACACAAATGAAACTAGTCAGTCAACCTATTCCGAGAGATGGCTTCCTCCCTGACGGTGCTCGCGTGTGGGAGGCTCTGCCCGTGACTCGGTACGCAGCGGACGCCACCACATGCATGCACGTCCCCTCTGGCACCTGCATCCCGAGCTTTCCCTTCTACACAGAAACAAGGACGGGGATGCACTACCACATGGCAGCCACTGGCTCCGTCACCTGAGACCTGTAGACAGCCTCACCGTGCCTCCTCCCCTCCCTGCCTGCCCCACCCAGCCGATGTGGGCTGGACCTCACCTAAGCCCTGCAGGGTCCCTCGTGACT